AAAGAGTTAAGAGAGCCAGGGAGCAGCTGGGCTGTGTCTGTTTGCCGTAGCTATGTGGGCTGCAGGGTAGAAAAGAAGAATCTCCACCCTGGAGGATGCAGATGAGGGAGGGTCCTCAAGGACGGAGGCAGTTCTTCCCCTCTCTGCTCCATTGAGCTGTCACCACAAGGAAACTCTTTGGCTCCCCAAAGGGCTTGGTGGCAAAGTGATGATGAGCTGGTGAGTCTAGTGACAGCTGCTTGGTGCTGCCAGGTTTTTCTTGCGTGGAAGGCTCTGTCTATTGCTGACTGGGTCTCAGGCTGCTTCCTGCTCATGAAGTGACTTGACTGGAGGAAGACAACCAGATCGTCTGCTGACAGGATGGCAGGGACTGGGGGATCTGACACTGATGCCATGTGAGCTCCCTCCGATGGCTGCCTGCCCCAGAGCCCTAGTTGAGAGCTCTCCCATGATGCTGCCCGAGCCGTAAGTAGGGAACAGCACCAGCGTGGATGCCCTTGCAGGGCCAGCCTGGAAGGTTTCGGTGGGTCACTGGGTCTCTGATGCTGGCAGGCACACCAGGACAGCCCGTAGACATTGCCCAGGGCAGGGGCTACCTGTGCTTTGCAGTGCTGGGATGGAGCTGCTGTGAGAGTGACTGTCGGGCAGAGGCAGTGGGAGATCACAGGAGGGGATTCAGGCGGCTGCTGCACCGTTGGCTGGAGGTGGAATTTTGCTGGGGCAGGATGGAGATGGTGTGGCTGTACGTGGTGCTGATCTCCATGCAGCAAGTCCTTGCTGTGACCTGGCTGTAAGTATGCTTTGCACTTGTACAGTCTGGATTGGAAAGTCACCTGGGGAGGTGCTATCTCCCAAGAAAACAGGCAGATCTGTGAGAAAAGGGTGGAAAAAGGAACCTGGGCAACCCAAAGGCAGCGCATTAGAAGGGGCACCTCTGGGAGCATGAAGGGAGAGGGTTGGTGAAGCTGAAGAGGCACAAACCAGGAAGGGGAGCAGGAGTGTCCAATCCCACACAGAGAAGAGGTGGCACATCCCCTTCCCTGCCCCATTTCTGCTCTAAAATAAGGCTATAGAGGGCTAGTCCCCTGCAAGACATGTCCCTGGCTCTAGCCTATCTGTGACTAAATCTCTCCCCTGTCCCACAGGTATCTGGCCAAACAGCCTTCTCTGCGGGCAGTCCTCCAGGACCCCAGTGGCTGTGAGGGTCTGACAGGGCTGGTAGAAGAGCAGGTCCGTGTTTGCCGACGGCAGGTGGAAGCCATGGATGCGGTAAAGCGAGGCGCGGAGCTGGCTATCGAGGAGTGCCAGCACCAGTTTCACTCTCGCCGGTGGAACTGCTCCACCCTACAGGGGCTGCAGGTCTTTGGAAAGGTCACCATCCAAGGTCAGTGACGGGAAGATGGCACAGGCAGAGTTGGCATGGGGTACCTTCAGTATGCCCATGGGGTCCCCTTGACAGATCAGCCTTTCCTGGGCTAGTGTGTGAGTGTCACGCTGGGACCAGCCCTAGAGTGGCCAGTGCCTTCCTCCACATACTAACATAGCTGTCAAAACAGAGGCAAACTGAAACAAATTTATGTGCTGTTACAAATACTAATACAAATGCTAAACTTCCTCATTTGGCCAGGCTTGGGTTTTAGGTCCCATCTGGACCATGCTGGGTACCAGCTCTGCAGACTGGTAGAGCTTCTCCACCAGCCCGCCACCAGCCCAGCCCTTTGGCTCAAATCTTTTGCTCTGAGGCTGCAGTCCCTTTTTGTTGCAGACCAAGGAAAAAGGATCTGCCTATGGCCCCAAAACAGCACCGAACAGATTTTGCATGTGTTTGGATTGGAGGAGCCATACAGGGAGCTGTGAGCAGGGTCTCTCTGGCTCCTTAGAGACAAGGTGTCAGGGTCCTCCCTGACAAACCTCTCTGCTCAGCCTCCGGCTTCCCCCACCATGGCTCCCCTTTCACTTCCATTGGGGGCTGCTGACTTCTCTCCAGCAACGGGACACCTGACCCAGGAATTGAGGGTGCCAAAGGCGAGGGCATGGAGCCAGAAGCAGCCCGCAGAGCCCTTGCTGGCTCCAGGCCTCAGGAACTGACAGTGATTTCTCCTGAGCAGTCTCCATCTAAATATATCCTTTCTGCATGCAGTCACAGCCTCTTTCCCCTTGCTGTGTCCCATCAGTGCCTTCCCCCTCCACCATTTCTCACCCTGCTGCAGGCACACGTGAGTCTGCTTTCATCCATGCCATCTCCGCTGCCGGCATTGCCTTTGCTGTGACTCGTGCCTGCAGCCGGGGGGAGCTGGAGAAATGTGGCTGTGACCGCAAGATCCGAGGAGTCAGCCCTGAAGGTGAAGGAGGAGGCTGGTGGCAGGGAGGGGGTGACAGAGAAGATCCATGGGGGACACCCTCACTAGGGGAGGAGACACCTCTCTTCTCCACAGCCCTCAGCCCTTTGGGGGCTTCTCCTTTTTTATCTTATGGCTGCTTTCCCTCTTTTCCTCAGGTTTCCAATGGTCAGGCTGCTCTGATAACCTGTCCTATGGGATTGCCTTCTCTCAAGCCTTCGTAGACAACCCTGAGAGGAGCCGCAGCGTCTCCTCCAGTAGGGCACTCATGAACCTGCACAACAACGAGGCTGGGCGGAAGGTGAGGGCAGGAACAAGGGCTGGGAAGCAAGCCTGGCTTCAGGGGCTTCTCCCTACCTAGGTTGAGCTCAGTCCAGCTCCCTTACCCTGAGGAGCAGTTTGGGGCAGCCACAGCTCCCAGAGCAGGTCTGCGTCCTGCTGCCTTTCCTCAGCTCAGCACTGTGCCGCTCACACTGAGCTGGCTCCTCACTTGCACAGAGGGGAGTCCTGGCCTCCCCTACCCGCCTCTGTGCAGAGTCTCCTTTTCCTCACAGAGCCCAGCTGTGATTTACCTTCATTGGCCTTTCCTGCAAAAGAAATTAGTTTCTCCATTCTGCTCTGAAGGGTTTCCCGGCCCCTCCAGTGCCTCTTGAGCAAAGACACCATCCTCTGCAGGGGCCACTGTTAGATCTGGTTCCTTGACCATCTCTGGCTCTGGGCAGATCTGTTCCCCTCCCCACAGCCACATGGGTCAAAGCAGGTCCCCATCTCTTCCTGTGCCTCAGGAATTTGTCTTACAGACCCAAGCCAGACTGTTTCCCACATAGTAGATCCCCTTCTCTCTCATATTGGCCTGGCTTAGAAGAATTTCTTGCTTCCCTTCCCTTCCCTTCCCTTCCCTTCCCTTCCCTTCTCCTGATACTGCCCTCCAGTCCTGTGGGAGGTGTGGGGGGGAACAGTGGCTGCCGGGGTACCTGCAGGCATGGGAGGTGAAGGGCAGGGTGTCCCAGGTCTGGCTGGCAGCTGCCCCTCACTCCCTAGGCTCTCCTGACACACATGAAGGTGGAGTGCAAGTGCCACGGTGTGTCGGGCTCCTGCGAGGTGCGTACATGCTGGAAGGTCATGCCTCCCTTCCGCAAGGTTGGCAACATACTCAAGGAAAAGTTTGAGGGGGCGACAGAAGTTCACCCCAAGCGTGTCGGTTCCCGCAAGCTCCTGGTGCCCAAGAGCTCTCGCTTCAAGCCCTACACAGCTCACGACCTGGTCTACTTGTTGGCCAGCCCAGATTTCTGCGACCGGGACCCCCGGCGCGGGGTCTTCGGCACCTCCGGCCGCCAGTGCAACCGGACATCCCCGGCCATGGACGGCTGTGAGCTCCTGTGCTGTGGCAGGGG